GTGTTTTCAGGCTTACTAAATCAACCGAGTCACGAAGATTGGCTTAAATTTTGAATACGACATCGTATGATCTCATTTCGAGTTGCAATGGGTTCCCTATGAAAAAATACACAATTCTCGTTCACGACTCAAGTCCAAATTATGAATAGAAATAAACATACAACTCTTCAGTCTTTTCAGGCTTACTAAATCAACCGAGTCACGAAGATTGGCTTTAATTCCGAATACGACATCGTATGATCTCATTTCGAGTTGCAATGGGTTTCCTATGCAAAAATACACAATTCTCGTTCACGACTCAAGTCCAAATTATGAATAGAAAAAAACATACAACTCTTCAGTGTTTTCAGGCTTACTAAATCAACCGAATCACGAAGATTGGCTTAAATTTTGAATACGACAACATATGATCTCATTTCGAGTTGCAATGGGTTCCCTATGCAAAAATACACAATTCTCGTTCACGACTCAAGTCCAAATTATGAATAGAAAAAAACATACAACTCTTCAGTGTTTTGAGGCTTACTAAATCAACCGAGTCACGAAGATTGGCTTAAATTTTGAATACGACATCGTATGATCTCATTTCGAGTTGCAATGGGTTCCCTATGCAAAAATACACAATTCTCGTTCACGACTCAAGTCCAAATTATGAATAGAAAAAAACATACAACTCTTCAGTGTTTTCAGGCTTACTAAATCAACCGAGTCACGAAGATTGGCTTAAATTTTGAATACGACATCGTATGATCTCATTTCAAGTTGCAATGGGTTCCCTATGCAAAAATATACAATTCTCGTTCACGACTCAAGTCCAAATTATGAATAGAAAAAAACATACAACTCTTCAGTGTTTTCAGGCTTACTAAATCAACCGAGTCACGAAGATTGGCTTAAATTTTGAATACGACATCGTATGATCTCATTTCGAGTTGCAATGGGTTCCCTATGCAAAAATACACAATTCTCGTTTACGACTCAAGTCCAAATTATGAATAGAAAAAAACATACAACTCTTCAGTGTTTTCAGGCTTACTAAATCAACCGAGTCACGAAGATTGGCTTAAATTTTGAATACGACATCGTATGATCTCATTTCGAGTTGCAATGGGTTCCCTATGAAAAATACACAATTCTCGTTCACGACTCAAGTCCAAATTATGAATAGAAAAAAACATACAACTCTTCAGTGTTTTCAGGCTTACTAAATCAACCGAGTCACGAAGATTGGCTTAAATTTTGAATGCGACATCGTATGATCTCATTTCGAATTGCAATGGGTTCCCTATGCAAAAATACACAATTCTCGTTCACGACTCAAGTCCAAATTATGAATAGAAAAAAACATACAACTCTTCAGTGTTTTCAGGCTTACTAAATCAACCGAGTTACGAAGATTGGCCTAAATTTTGAATACGACATCATATGATCTCATTTCGAGTTGCAATTGGTTCCCTATGCAAAAATACACAATTCTCGTTCACGACTCAAGTCCAAATTATGAATAGAAAAAAACATACAACTCTTCAGTGTTTTCAGGCTTACTAAATCAACCGAGTCACGAAGATTGGCTTAAATATTGAATACGACATCGTATGATCTCATTTCGAGTTGCAATGGGTTCCCTATGCAAAAATACACAATTCTCGTTCACGACTCAAGTCCAAATTATGAACAGAAAAAAAACATACAACTCTTCAGTGTTTTCAGGCTTACTAAATCAACCGAGTCACGAAGATTGGCTTAAATTTTGAATACGACATCGTATGATCTCATTTCGAGTTGCAATGGGTTCCCTATGCAAAAATACACAATTCTCGTTCACGACTCAAGTCCAAATTATGAATAGAAAAAAACATACAACTCTTCAGTGTTTTCAGGCTTACTAAATCAACCGAGTCACGAAGATTGGCTTAAATTTTGAATGCGACATCGTATGATCTCATTTCGAGTTGCAATGGGTTCCCTATGAAAAAATACACAATTCTCGTTCACGACTCAAGTCCAAATTATGAATAGAAATAAACATACAACTCTTCAGTCTTTTCAGGCTTACTAAATCAACCGAGTCACGAAGATTGGCTTAAATTTTGAATACGACATCGTATGATCTCATTTCAAGTTGCAATGGGTTCCCTATGAAAAAATACACAATTCTCGTTCACGACTCAAGTCCAAATTATGAATAGAAATAAACATACAACTCTTCAGTCTTTTCAGGCTTACTAAATCAACCGAGTCACGAAGATTGGCTTAAATTCCGAATACGACATCGTATGATCTCATTTCGAGTTGCAATGGGTTTCCTATTCAAAAATACACAATTCTCGTTCACGACTCAAGTCCAAATTATGAATAGAAAAAAACATACAACTCTTCAGTGTTTTCAGGCTTACTAAATCAACCGAATCACGAAGATTGGCTTAAATTTTGAATACGACAACATATGATCTCATTTCGAGTTGCAATGGGTTCCCTATGCAAAAATACACAATTCTCGTTCACGACTCAAGTCCAAATTATGAATAGAAAAAAACATACAACTCTTCAGTGTTTTCAGGCTTACTAAATCAACCGAGTCACGAAGATTGGCTTAAATTTTGAATACGACATCGTATGATCTCATTTCGAGTTGCAATGGGTTCCCTATGCAAAAATACACAATTCTCGTTCACGACTCAAGTCCAAATTATGAATAGAAAAAAACATACAACTCTTCAGTGTTTTCAGGCTTACTAAATCAACCGAGTCACGAAGATTGGCTTAAATTTTGAATACGACATCGTATGATCTCATTTCGAGTTGCAATGGGTTCCCTATGCAAAAATACACAATTCTCGTTTACGACTCAAGTCCAAATTATGAATAGAAAAAAACATACAACTCTTCAGTGTTTTCAGGCTTACTAAATCAACCGAGTCACGAAGATTGACTTAAATTTTGAATACGACATCGTATGATCTCATTTCGAGTTGCAATGGGTTCCCTATGAAAAATACACAATTCTCGTTCACGACTCAAGTCCAAATTATGAATAGAAAAAAACATACAACTCTTCAGTGTTTTCAGGCTTACTAAATCAACCGAGTCACGAAGATTGGCTTAAATTTTGAATGCGACATCGTATGATCTCATTTCGAATTGCAATGGGTTCCCTATGCAAAAATACACAATTCTCGTTCACGACTCAAGTCCAAATTATGAATAGAAAAAAACATACAACTCTTCAGTGTTTTCAGGCTTACTAAATCAACCGAGTTACGAAGATTGGCCTAAATTTTGAATACGACATCATATGATCTCATTTCGAGTTGCAATTGGTTCCCTATGCAAAAATACACAATTCTCGTTCACGACTCAAGTCCAAATTATGAATAGAAAAAAACATACAACTCTTCAGTGTTTTCAGGCTTACTAAATCAACCGAGTCACGAAGATTGGCTTAAATATTGAATACGACATCGTATGATCTCATTTCGAGTTGCAATGGGTTCCCTATGCAAAAATACACAATTCTCGTTCACGACTCAAGTCCAAATTATGAACAGAAAAAAACATACAACTCTTCAGTGTTTTCAGGCTTACTAAATCAACCGAGTCACGAAGATTGGCTTAAATTTTGAATACGACATCGTATGATCTCATTTCGAGTTGCAATGGGGGTGGGTTAAGTTAACGAAAAGTTGAGAGCTGCTCTCTCCCTCGCGTGAGGTTCTTTTCGTCTTGCTCACAAATCTACTCGTTTCTTCCATTAATCTTGTTCTTTGGGCTTGGATATTGATTGCTTTACCTCCTAAACTGTTTTGGGTTGTAAATTCTTCAATTTTTGAGTTCACGGTCGGATTCTTGGACTGGTTTCACGCATTACTCTGCTCGGAATTACTGTTCATCGAAAGTAGTCAACGCCTATTGCTCTTGATTTCCCTGATCAACTCTTCTTTGGAAGGTGGTTCTAGCTTCCCCTTGGGGCAAGGATCAAGCAAATACAACTTTCTCGCAACTGATTGAAGTTTGGTCTCAGTCCCAACGGTCACCTGCTGTTCAGACTCCATAGCTAAAAAAGGTAACCAGACTGATGGTCACGTAATTGGGGTGCTACTTCGTAGTTCCCTTTTCCTCTACTCATGACTAACAAAAAAAAGAAGGAACTGCCCGCACCTACCAAATCATCCTCCCGACTTCGAGCTAGGCAGAACAAAGAAGCTGATGACTCAACTGAGGAAACTGTGCGTGAGAAGGCAGACATGTCCCAACTCAAAGAAGACGACTTGCGAGACATAGTACAGGCTGTGGGTTCGTCCATTCTGCTGGAAACCATAATTGAAAACTCCCAGGAGGAAAAAACGTTGTCTTCGGATTCTAGCTTTGAGACTGCACAAATGGATGAAGCTCCTACGATGGAGGTAACTTCCAAACTTCAAAATGATGGCCTGGTAGACAATGATACCAATTTGGTGGTAAACTGCCATTCCCAGAATGATATGCTTGATGAACCTATTTTAGATGATGCTTCTATTGATCATATGATGACTGAAAACAAGGAATATGAAATTGACCCTGCTGTTAAAGAGATACTAAATAGGGAAGCAGCTGAGGTTACCAAAATTGATGCTACCGTAGTGAACACAAGTGGCGCTATTGTCCCTACTCCCTACCACGTCGCGACACAACCTATCCAGCCCACGGCACCAGCCCTCCATGCCGCGGCATTAGCTATCCAGGCTGCGGCACAACCTACTGCAGCTCCAGTTTCCCAGGCAGCGGCATTATCCATTCAGGCCGCAGCAGAACCTACTGGTAACAAAGACATGGGTTTAGGAGGAAGCAAATGGGGTAAACCAGGCTCTAAACCAGCGTTCGTCTCACTTTTCAAGGACAATAGGGAACCCGATAAGGGTATGAAACTAAGGTATATTGAGCCGAAAGGAGACATCATTGATTTATCTACCCGAGAGATACCATCTATGATCACTCTTTGGGGCCATTGCTTGGTTGCCTATTTTGATGGTGGAAACCCCGGCTACAAGAACCTCCAATCTATTGTACAAAAATGGGGTGTTCCATGCCGTTTTAGAAGTCATGATAAAGGGTGGATAATCTTTAAATTCCAAAATGAGCAAGATAGGGCTAAAGTTCTTTTGGAGGGGCCATATACTATGTTTGGAAAAACTTTTCATTTAAAGTTGCTCTCGGATGACTTTACTATGAATGATGAGGAGTTTCTCAAAGTTCCTATTTGGGTGCACTTCCCCCATCTTCCTATGAGGATTTGGGAAGAGGATATTATAAGTGAGGTGGCTTCTAAAGTGGGTATCCCCATCACTACGGATAGAGTAACACTTGAAAAAGCTAGATCAAATTTTGCAAGAGTCTTAATTGAAGTTGATGCCTCCAAACCGCCACCCCTTGAATTCAAGATCAAACTACCAAATGGCAAACTACACACTCAATATGTGAGGTATGAAACTTTTCCAAACTATTGCTTCCATTGCAAAAAGTTTGGACACCATGCTTTTACTTGCTCCATTATTGCCTCAATTGAAAAGAAAGCTAAAGAAGATGTTATAAAAAAAAGATTGGGCATTAATATAGAAGAAGGGGCTGCCGAGGGTGCAACTTGTGGTGCCAAAACAGTAGCCGAAAGTAGCAATGTGGATGCTAAAACAGTGACCAACAATGAGGAAAACGAGGCTGAGGGGGCTGCCAAAACAGTGAGCAACAAAGAGGAAAACGAGGCCGAGGGGGCTGCCAAAACAGTGAGCAACAAGGAGGCAATTGAGGAAGATAATGACCTTTTTATCACTAAAAGAGACCATCCTTTTTTCAAGAGATTTCGGTTCTTTAAATGGGGGAAGAAGAAGCCTATAAGGGGTGAGGGTGGCACATCCGATTTCAAAGATGGTGAGGATGTACTTGTCCGAAAAGTACAAAAGTTCCATGACACCTATCAAGATGAGGTGATAGTTGAAATGCATACCGATGATGTTCTCATGCCTACTATCAATGTAACACATAAAAAACATGTAGATAAGGATGCTATAATACTAAAGATGGATCATCATCTTAAAATTGTGAATGAAGACCAACCCGGAATGCTATTTAGTAAGGAAACTTTGGAGGGGCTGCCCGGTATCACAAGTACCAACAATGGGTACACTTTCGGCCCTACATTTATGAGGGGTGTTCTTAGGCACTATCTTTGTAGATATTATGAAGATGGGTGTCCAAGGGGGAAAGCATCTCTTGTGAAGCGTCCAAGCATGGTGGATTACAACAAAGTGCGTGTGGTGAAAGACATAAGAGATGCATACCGAGATGATGTTATTGTCAAACTTGAACTTGGTGAAGACAACCTACCTTTGATCCATCTCCTACACTTTGATGAAGTAAAGGATCAAATGGTGAGGCTTGATAACTACTTGAGAGTCACCCAAGATGTGCTTACCGAGGGGCTCACTTTCACGCTCAAATGCATGGAGGCTATTCCGGGTGTTTTTCCTACGGAGTATGGGTATGATTTTAACTCTTGGTTCATTGAATATCCATATACTTTATTATATCTTACTAGGTACAAAGCAAGAGCAAAGCCGAGCCCTATTGTTGAAAACAATGGGAGTAGGCCGAGACATCAAGGGAAGAGAGGAGGATGGAGGAACAACAACAAAAGGATTTGATGATTGTGTCCGCTTGGAATATAAGAGGCCTTAATAAGGTCTCCAAACAAAACTCTATCCTTAAGTTTATTCGCACTAATAATATTCATTTGTGTTGTCTTCTTGAAACCAAAATGACCACTACTAATTTTGTTAACTTTAGTTCAAATAGATTACCTTCTTGGCTATCTATTACTAATTTTGACAAAATTGATGGTGGCCGTATTGGCATCATTTGGGACCCACATTTTGTTCATATTAATGTACTTGAAATTGACAAACAACATGTGCATCTTAGCGCCACATGTAAGATTACTCAAATTGAGTATCTTGTTACTTTTGTGTATGCTCTCTACACGGCGCTTGAGAGAAAGGCCCTTTGGGACCATCTAGCAAACTTGGAGCCTAACATTAATAGCCCTTGGCTAGTAATGGGAGACTTTAATTGTGTTGGATGCCCGAATGAGAGGGTGGGTCCTACCCCTCCCTCGGCCTATGTTATGCAACATTTAAATGATTTTAAATTGCAAACTAATCTTGTTGATTGCCCATCCACGGGCCAATTCCTTACTTGGAATAGAGGTTCCCTTTGGGCTAAACTAGATCGAGTTCTTATTAATTCTTTTTGGTCTACTTTGGATATTGAGTGCAAAACACATTTTCATGATTTCGAACTTGAATCCGACCATGTAGCTTCCATGGTTTCCATTGGGAAAACTAATGGGGCTGCCTCTCGGCCTTTTAAATTTTTTAATATGTGGCTAAACCATGAGAATTTCAATGCCATCCTCACTACCCATTGGGTTAAAGAGGTTTATGGAAGCTCTCAATTTATTTTAGCCAAGAAACTGAAGGACCTTAAAAGACCACTTAGAGAGCTCAATAAACTCCATTTTGGTCACATTTCTGAAAGAGTTAAGGACTCCAAAAAAGAGTATAAAAGGCTCCTTGGGCTTTCTATACTCTCTCCGTTGGATGAAACTATAAAAGAAGAACTCTCCTTGATAAAGAAAAAACTTCTTAACCTTAAAGTGGCTGAAGAAGACTTTTTTAGGCAAAAGGCCAAGGCTAACCATCTTGTCCAAAGTGATAAATGCACCAAATACTTCCATGCTATTGTGAAAAAGAATGTGGCTAGAAACTCCATTACGGCTCTCAAACTCCAAAATGGAATGACTACCACCTCTATTGACCAAGTGGCTACGGAACTGGTGAAGTTTTACACTGACTTATTTGGTACTCACTATCCTACCTCCGGACTGGACCCCAATATAGTTGCCTCGGGTAGATGTCTCCCTTCTGCTGCCTCAGCCAGCCTTATTGGTCCTGTCACAGATGTGGAAATCAAAGAGGCTTTGTTTGACATTGGTGACAACAAATCACCTGGTCCTGATGGATACACATCGGCATTTTTTAAAAAGAATTGGACCAGGGTTGGTTATGATTTCACCAAGGCTGTTAAGGCCTTCTTTTTGTCGGGTAGGTTATTAAAGCAAACTAACCACACGGTTATTGCTTTAATTCCTAAGACAACCCATTCTCCTACGCCGGCTGACTTTAGACCAATCGCTTGTACAAATGTGGTATACAAAGTCATCACTAAGATCATTTCTAAAAGAATGATCCCGTGCCTTCCGGACCTTATTGACCAAGCCCAGGGGGCCTTTGTTGATGGGAGACTCATGATTGATAATGTGTTTGTTGCCCAAGAACTGATTAAAGGATATGCTAGGAAACGTATGTCTCCAAGATGTATGATCAAGGTTGACCTCCGGAAAGCCTATGATACTATATCTTGGGACTTCCTTACTAGTATGTTGACCCACTTGGGATTCCCGGGCAGATTCATACACTGGATTATGGAGTGTGTCACCACCGCTTCATACTCCATATCAATCAATGGTGTTCTCCATGGCCATTTTGAGGGTAAAAGAGGGCTTCGGCAAGGGGACCCTATGTCCCCCCTCTTATTTGTCCTTTGCTTGGAGTACTTGTCTAGACTATTGAATTATAGGACCAACAACCCTATGTTCAATCACCATCCTCTGTGTAGGTCACTCAATATTTCACATGTGGCATATGCTGATGATTTGATGCTTTTTTCTAGAGGTGATATCACATCTATACAGATTCTTACACAGGCTTTGGAAGATTTTGGTAACATATCTGGCCTTAGGGTCAACTATGATAAATCAAATATCTTCCTTGGTGGTAATGCATATTATGAGCTTGATACTATACTTGAACTGGTGGACTTTAAAATTGGTGCATTCCCGGTCACTTATCTTGGGGTCCCTCTGGCGCCCCTAAAGCTATCTGTGGCCCAATACGCACCCCTTTTAGAGTCCATCACCACTTTTATTAATGCTTGGAGTCTTAAATCTTTATCTTATGCAGGCAGAGTTGAGCTAGTCAAATCAGTTATACAGGGGGTACACTCTTTTTGGCTACAAATGTTTCCCATCCCCAATGTTATTCTTGACAGGATTACATCCATTTGCCGCATTTTTCTTTGGGGAAGCAAATTCGCTAGGGTCGCCTGGGCGGATATTTGCCTCCCGAAAGAAGAAGGTGGACTTGGTATACATGATACGAAGGTTTGGAACAAGGCTCTACTTTCAAAAACTTTTTGGGATATACACACTAAAAAGGATACTCTTTGGGTCAAGTGGGTGCATGGGGTTTATCTAAAGGGAAGGAGTGTGTGGGAGTTTGTCCCACACGAAAGAGATTCACAATTATTCAAAAAGATAGCATTAATCCGTGATGAAATACTTTCCAAATTCCCGGACATTCCGAGTGCTATACTTGGCCTAAATGCTCTTCAATCCAATGGCAAGCTTGTATCCTCCAAGGTTTATGATTTACTTAGGACTAGGGCTGCCACCCGTGTGTGGATGCCATTTATTTGGAAAGATTACATTCCTCCCAAGTTTTCCTTTATTACTTGGCTGGCATTCCGTAATAGATTAGCCACGTGTGATAATCTTCATAGATTGGATGTGGATAATACGTGTGTATTGTGCAAGGGTGGACCGGAAACGGTTCCACACCTCTACTTTGAATGCTCTTTTTCAGGAAAAGTTTGGGCTATGATGAAAGCATGGATTGGCATTCCACGAGTGATGGGGACCCTAGCTAGTGCGGTCAAATGGATCAAGAAGGAGAGGAGTGGAGCTAGTGTACGAGCCAAGGCTGCCAGGATTGCTTTCTCGTGCACCATATACTCGCTTTGGAGAGTCAGGAATGCAGCTCGCTTTGATGATTTTTTGCCAAAGGAGGAGCAAGTTTTTGCCAGGATACAATATGTTGTCTATAAAATTCTGTATTGCATCTATCCTTATGATTTGGTAGTACTTTGATAACTTTTTGCCAATCACCTATTTGTGTTTGTGATTGGCCGTGAGGTAGTATAGGAGGGGGCTGTCATGGCACCCTTATTTTGGCAGGTGATGGGTTATCCAACCTTTGGTTAGCCTACATTTTTGCTCATATATTCTCTCTGTACAGATGAACTATTGACGGTTTTTTTCTAATATACTTACATGTTATCGTCGAGTTGCAATGGGTTCCCTATGCAAAAATACACAATTCTCGTTCACGACTCAAGTCCAAATTATGAATAGAAAAAAACATACAACTCTTCAGTGTTTTCAGGCTTACTAAATCAACCGAGTCACGAAGATTGGCTTAAATTTTGAATACGACATCGTATGATCTCATTTCGAGTTGCAATGGGTTCCCTATGCAAAAATACACAATTCTCGTTCACGACTCAAGTCCAAATTATGAATAGAAAAAAACATACAACTCTTCAGTGTTTTCAGGCTTACTAAATCAACCGAGTCACGAAGATTGGCTTAAATTTTGAATACGACATCATATGATCTCATTTCAAGTTGCAATGGGTTCCCTATGTAAAAATATACAATTCTCGTTCACGACTCAAGTCCAAATTATGAATAGAAAAAAACATACAACTCTTCAGTGTTTTCAGGCTTACTAAATCAACCGAGTCACGAAGATTGGCTTAAATTTTGAATACGACATCGTATGATCTCATTTCGAGTTGCAATGGGTTCCCTATGCAAAAATACACAATTCTCGTTTACGACTCAAGTCCAAATTATGAATAGAAAAAAACATACAACTCTTCAGTGTTTTCAGGCTTACTAAATCAACCGAGTCACGAAGATTGGCTTAAATTTTGAATACGACATCGTATGATCTCATTTCGAGTTGCAATGGGTTCCCTATGAAAAATACACAATTCTCGTTCACGACTCAAGTCCAAATTATGAATAGAAAAAAACATACAACTCTTCAGTGTTTTCAGGCTTACTAAATCAACCGAGTCACGAAGATTGGCTTAAATTTTGAATGCGACATCGTATGATCTCATTTTGAATTGCAATGGGTTCCCTATGCAAAAATACACAATTCTCGTTCACGACTCAAGTCCAAATTATGAATAGAAAAAAACATACAACTCTTCAGTGTTTTCAGGCTTACTAAATCAACCGAGTTACGAAGATTGGCCTAAATTTTGAATACGACATCATATGATCTCATTTCGAGTTGCAATTGGTTCCCTATGCAAAAATACACAATTCTCGTTCACGACTCAAGTCGAAATTATGAATAGAAAAAAACATACAACTCTTCAGTGTTTTCAGGCTTACTAAATCAACCGAGTCACGAAGATTGGCTTAAATTTTGAATACGACATCGTATGATCTCATTTCGAGTTGCAATGGGTTCCCTATGAAAAAATACACAATTCTCGTTCACGACTCAAGTCCAAATTATGAATAGAAATAAACATACAACTCTTCAGTCTTTTCAGGCTTACTAAATCAACCGAGTCACGAAGATTGGCTTAAATTTTGAATACGACATCGTATGATCTCATTTCAAGTTGCAATGGGTTCCCTATGAAAAAATACACAATTCTCGTTCACGACTCAAGTCCAAATTATGAATAGAAATAAACATACAACTCTTCAGTCTTTTCAGGCTTACTAAATCAACCGAGTCACGAAGATTGGCTTAAATTCCGAATACGACATCGTATGATCTCATTTCGAGTTGCAATGGGTTTCCTATTCAAAAATACACAATTCTCGTTCACGACTCAAGTCCAAATTATGAATAGAAAAAAACATACAACTCTTCAGTGTTTTCAGGCTTACTAAATCAACCGAATCACGAAGATTGGCTTAAATTTTGAATACGACAACATATGATCTCATTTCGAGTTGCAATGGGTTCCCTATGCAAAAATACACAATTCTCGTTCACGACTTAAGTCCAAATTATGAATAGAAAAAAACATACAACTCTTCAGTGTTTTCAGGCTTACTAAATCAACCGAGTCACGAAGATTGGCTTAAATTTTGAATACGACATCGTATGATCTCATTTCGAGTTGCAATGGGTTCCCTATGCAAAAATACACAATTCTCGTTCACGACTCAAGTCCAAATTATGAATAGAAAAAAACATACAACTCTTCAGTGTTTTCAGGCTTACTAAATCAACCGAGTCACGAAGATTGGCTTAAATTTTGAATACGACATCGTATGATCTCATTTCAAGTTGCAATGGGTTCCCTATGCAAAAATATACAATTCTCGTTCACGACTCAAGTCCAAATTATGAATAGAAAAAAACATACAACTCTTCAGTGTTTTCAGGCTTACTAAATCAACCGAGTCACGAAGATTGGCTTAAATTTTGAATACGACATCGTATGATCTCATTTCGAGTTGCAATGGGTTCCCTATGCAAAAATACACAATTCTCGTTTACGACTCAAGTCCAAATTATGAATAGAAAAAAACATACAACTCTTCAGTGTTTTCAGGCTTACTAAATCAACCGAGTCACGAAGATTGACTTAAATTTTGAATACGACATCGTATGATCTCATTTCGAGTTGCAATGGGTTCCCTATGAAAAATACACAATTCTCGTTCACGACTCAAGTCCAAATTATGAATAGAAAAAAACATACAACTCTTCAGTGTTTTCAGGCTTACTAAATCAACCGAATCACGAAGATTGGCTTAAATTTTGAATACGACAACATATGATCTCATTTCGAGTTGCAATGGGTTCCCTATGCAAAAATACACAATTCTCGTTCACGACTTAAGTCCAAATTATGAATAGAAAAAAACATACAACTCTTCAGTGTTTTCAGGCTTACTAAATCAACCGAGTCACGAAGATTGGCTTAAATTTTGAATACGACATCGTATGATCTCATTTCGAGTTGCAATGGGTTCCCTATGCAAAAATACACAATTCTCGTTCACGACTCAAGTCCAAATTATGAATAGAAAAAAACATACAACTCTTCAGTGTTTTCAGGCTTACTAAATCAACCGAGTCACGAAGATTGGCTTAAATTTTGAATACGACATCGTATGATCTCATTTCAAGTTGCAATGGGTTCCCTATGCAAAAATATACAATTCTCGTTCACGACTCAAGTCCAAATTATGAATAGAAAAAAACATACAACTCTTCAGTGTTTTCAGGCTTACTAAATCAACCGAGTCACGAAGATTGGCTTAAATTTTGAATACGACATCGTATGATCTCATTTCGAGTTGCAATGGGTTCCCTATGCAAAAATACACAATTCTCGTTTACGACTCAAGTCCAAATTATGAATAGAAAAAAACATACAACTCTTCAGTGTTTTCAGGCTTACTAAATCAACCGAGTCACGAAGATTGACTTAAATTTTGAATACGACATCGTATGATCTCATTTCGAGTTGCAATGGGTTCCCTATGAAAAATACACAATTCTCGTTCACGACTCAAGTCCAAATTATGAATAGAAAAAAACATACAACTCTTCAGTGTTTTCAGGCTTACTAAATCAACCGAGTCACGAAGATTGGCTTAAATTTTGAATGCGACATCGTATGATCTCATTTCGAATTGCAATGGGTTCCCTATGCAAAAATACACAATTCTCGTTCACGACTCAAGTCCAAATTATGAATAGAAAAAAACATACAACTCTTCAGTGTTTTCAGGCTTACTAAATCAACCGAGTTACGAAGATTGGCCTAAATTTTGAATACGACATCATATGATCTCATTTCGAGTTGCAATTGGTTCCCTATGCAAAAATACACAATTCTCGTTCACGACTCAAGTCCAAATTATGAATAGAAAAAAACATACAACTCTTCAGTGTTTTCAGGCTTACTAAATCAACCGAGTCACGAAGATTGGCTTAAATATTGAATACGACATCGTATGATCTCATTTCGAGTTGCAATGGGTTCCCTATGCAAAAATACACAATTCTCGTTCACGACTCAAGTCCAAATTATGAACAGAAAAAAACATACAACTCTTCAGTGTTTTCAGGCTTACTAAATCAACCGAGTCACGAAGATTGGCTTAAATTTTGAATACGACATCGTATGATCTCATTTCGAGTTGCAATGGGTTCCCTATGCAAAAATACACAATTCTCGTTCACGACTCAAGTCCAAATTATGAATAGAAAAAAACATACAACTCTTCAGTGTTTTCAGGCTTACTAAATCAACCGAGTCACGAAGATTGGCTTAAATTTTGAATACGACATCGTATGATCTCATTTCGAGTTGCAATGGGTTCCCTATGCAAAAATACACAATTCTCGTTCACGACTCAAGTCCAAATTATGAATAGAAAAAAACATACAACTCTTCAGTGTTTTCAGGCTTACTAAATCAACCGAGTTACGAAGATTGGCCTAAATTTTGAATACGACATCATATGATCTCATTTCGAGTTGCAATTGGTTCCCTATGCAAAAATACACAATTCTCGTTCACGACTCAAGTCCAAATTATGAATAGAAAAAAACATACAACTCTTCAGTGTTTTCAGGCTTACTAAATCAACCGAGTCACGAAGATTGGCTTAAATATTGAATACGACATCGTATGATCTCATTTCGAGTTGCAATGGGTTCCCTATGCAAAAATACACAATTCTCGTTCACGACTCAAGTCCAAATTATGAACAGAAAAAAACATACAACTCTTCAGTGTTTTCAGGCTTACTAAATCAACCGAGTCACGAAGATTGGCTTAAATTTTGAATACGACATCGTATGATCTCATTTCGAGTTGCAATGGGTTCCCTATGCAAAAATACACAATTCTCGTTCACGACTCAAGTCCAAATTATGAATAGAAAAAAACATACAACTCTTCAGTGTTTTCAGGCTTACTAAATCAACCGAGTCACGAAGATTGGCTTAAATTTTGAATACGACATCGTATGATCTCATTTCGAGTTGCAATGGGTTCCCTATGCAAAAATACACAATTCTCGTTCACGACTCAAGTCCAAATTATGAATAGAAAAAAACATACAACTCTTCAGTGTTTTCAGGCTTACTAAATCAACCGAGTCACGAAGATTGGCTTAAATTTTGAATACGACATCATATGATCTCATTTCAAGTTGCAATGGGTTCCCTATGTAAAAATATACAATTCTCGTTCACGACTCAAGTCCAAATTATGAATAGAAAAA